TAGTACAATGCAAACTTACAAAAAGGGGTAAGAATATTTTCAGGATCCAAAATTTTACCCAAACATACAGAAAATTTCCCCATAATTATAGCACAGAAAATATACAAGAATACAAAATTGTTATTTTTAAATACTTTTAGATTTTAGAACTTTGTTATGCAGTATTATAAGTTTGAGAGAAAAATCTAATACTCTTAATAATCTAATGTTGATTAAAAAAAGTTTGAAATATTTTAACTCTCTCTCTCACAATTTACACTTTCAATTTGAGAGCAGGTGTTAATGAACTGATGAAAAAAATGATAAATAACTTAAATAATACCATTTGAATTAGTATTATCATTTTTCATTTTAATAATTTTGATTGCATAACAAAACAATTTCTGATTTCTGAAACTTTTTTTCCTAGTCTATTAATATTTTGTAAAGTTTGGAAAATTTATTGAGGGACAAATATAATAAATTTATACTTTTGTACATGGATTATATAGAATTTTTATATTTAATTGTTTTTTTCAAAGTCATGAAGTTTTACAGTTATGGGTTAATAACACAATAAATTATTTTTATTAAATAAAACATTTTAGTTTTATGTAGAAAAGACTTGCCGTAATTCTGTCTTTCTGATTTTATTTTTAAGTTTAGTAATTCATCGATTATAAAAAGTATATAACTGTTAATTAGAAAAAATAATCAGTTAAAAAGTTGGAGAAGCAATAGTGTATGAGTGTATTAAGTCAAGTGATGTTTTATTTTGTTAATGTGCCATACCGTAAGGAATGTGAAGGTCGGGGAATTTGTACAAAGTTGGTCAAGGAAAGTCATGGAATTTAAAACAAAAATTTGAGTAGGAATAAGTTTTTCACAGGATATATGGTGACTGTATGCCTCCATGTCCAACCCTATCACTATATTTATCCAAGGAAAAGGAGGTCCTGCAAGATGCTAAAGGTTTTTAAATTGTACTGTTGTCATTACATTAATTAACGTTGATAAAGTTTTATTTGATTCCACTGCTTCCTCCTTGGTGCATAACTTTTTTGTCAATAAATGAAAAAGATAACTTTTTACTGTTGTAAATCAATTGGTGACTAAAAGTATGTAATTGCTGTTACACAAGTATTTAAAAAATAAATTGTTGTTCTTACGTAGTAATTTTAAGTACATAAAGTTGAATATACTGTATTTAATTCCCAGCATTATTGAAATGAGATATTTCAGATCACAGGTATTGCACAGTAACTTTTTTATTTATTGTATCTTCAGTCATGTTTTAACAATAAATTTAATTAATTTAGGCAATTATTGCACGTGAATATAAGAAATGATGTTAAGTATTACATTAAAAATTTGCAAACATAAATTAATATGAACATCATAAATGCTACACTTCTAAGGTTTTATTAGTTTACTTCAAAAAAGTTTTCTATTAAACATGTATAAATTTAATGAATTTCCTATCTTGAATGGAAAAATCACTTAGGTTCAATAATTACATATATATATATTTTTTTTTAAATTAATTTTTGCAAATATGTTGCTTTGCACTGTAATGTTTAACTATAGTAGAAAAAAAAGAGTAATTTGTCAAATTGATGAGATATTTTAATCAGTAACATCTTATACTGTATCAGTTATAAATTAATTAATTCATCCTGAAGATTTTTAACATTGCAATGTGTAACTTTTAAAATGTCACAAATAGAGCTGTCAAGTGATAGGAATCTCATATGCTTTCTCTATCCATATTTATGAAACTTGTTTTCAAAATTACATTGATAAGTTCTGAATTCCATTCAAAGTGATGTAATAGATGTAATTGTTATATTAATAAAACTAGTAATTTGTGTTTTTTCTACACAGTGATTATTTTTAATTAATCTTCTCATTATTTTTGAGTTGATAAATCAACTGTATTTATTTCATTTTGTAAATCTTATTATTTTACGGTGATTCTGTGTTGTGTTTAAATAGAAAGAAACCATTGAAAAATTACTGACTGGACTTCCTTGGATATGCAGTACAATGAAAAACATTTTATTATTTACAAAGAGCCTTTAATCATTATAATAATTACTCCTTTGTATTTTTGATATTTTGATCTTATGTCTTTTTAAAATTTATTAAACAATTAAATAAAGACAAGTTATCGGCTGACCAAGTGTAGCTGTCTGCAGGCAGCAATAAATATTGTAGTACAATGCAAACTTACAAAAAGGGGTAAGAATATTTTCAGGATCCAAAATTTTACCCAAACATACAGAAAATTTCCCCATAATTATAGCACAGAAAATATACAAGAATACAAAATTGTTATTTTTAAATACTTTTAGATTTTAGAACTTTGTTATGCAGTATTATAAGTTTGAGAGAAAAATCTAATACTCTTAATAATCTAATGTTGATTAAAAAAAAGTTTGAAATATTTTAACTCTCTCTCTCACAATTTACACTTTCAATTTGAGAGCAGGTGTTAATGAACTGATGAAAAAAATGATAAATAACTTAAATAATACCATTTGAATTAGTATTATCATTTTTCATTTTAATAATTTTGATTGCATAACAAAACAATTTCTGATTTCTGAAACTTTTTTTCCTAGTCTATTAATATTTTGTAAAGTTTGGANAATTTGTAATTATCTTAATACCATCTTTGCAAAAATAAATTTAATTAATTAATTTTACATTTATATAAATTTTGAAAGTTAAACTGTATTGTAAATTTTTCTAAACTGCATTATGCTGAAAATTTTTGAGATGATACAAAGAGAATAGTTTGTGTATTAATAATTTTAATAAAATTTCTGCTGATTTGAGGTATGATTTGTTAATAGCATCTTTACTGAAAGTTGTTAATGTTTTAAAACTGAAATTACAGAACTGTCTTTGGGCATTAAATTTTAATGAAATATGCATCTTATATAAGTAGATAAAAATGGCACTCCGTGCAAAATTTTACAGGCAAAAGTACAGAAGAAAGCTCTGTAATTTTAATTGTAAAATTTGATATGGGGATGCCATTTTTGTGTTTACATTTAAATTAACAACTTTAATTCTGTGAGAATACATGTATAATTTGTGATTTTGATGACTGAATGTTGAGTATTAATCCAAAATTTAGTATGATATAAATTATATTTATTTGTACTGTATAAGCAAAATAATGAAAATAAATTAATGTGTGTTCAGCCTATAATGTTATTTTAATATTAGCAATATTACAAAGCAAAACTAAGTGTTTACTTAATTCCTTGATATATATATATATATTTTAAATTTATATTAGGGATTTATTGAAATTTTGGAATAAATTTGAAAATATCACTGAAATATTTAAAAAGCTTTAGCTGCTATATTAGATATGAATATCATCATTATTTAAAAATTCAGTTTATTTTATTTTTCCTAGGAAATTAACATATAGTAGGTTATGATATTTTTAATTTGTGTGAAATAATTGAGAAACTATACTCTTAAAATTTCCAAAAAGATTTTTTTATGAATTAATGATAAAATCAGATTTTTCAATGCCTTTTTCAGAAAACATGATGATAAAATAATAATTATATGTTGAACAATTAATAACTAAATTCTTGAAATTTCTCGATGATTTGGAATTTTACTGCATGACAGCCATTTAACGTTATCCTTAATGAAATGGCTTCTTTCCAAACTGTAAATATTAATTGTATTGGCTCTGTTCCAAACTAAAAATCATTATTGTGTTGATAAAAATAACAATAGGATCTGAGTCTTAGGTTAAGTTTTAATTCAATTATAGAACCAGAAGCATAATTAATGTAGTCTGTAAAAGTGATGTACTTGGGTTGAAAAATGAACATTTTTGTAAAATAAAATAATGGTTTGGCTAGATTACATGCAAATAAATAAATACTAGAAGTAATAACTTTTACAGCTAAAACAAATGTAGATTTTCATAATGTGAAAATTGTGTTGACACTATCCTATTACATATTAAAAAGAAAAAAATTATATCTAAAGACAATAATATAGAATTGAATGAAAATTGGAAATAAGATATTAAGCTTTGTGAAGAAAAATAATATGGTTGTAGTTTATAGAACACATTTCCATTATGAGCATGAAAAATCTTCATTCCTTCAAGTGAAAGAACCAAGATATCTTCTGTGATTTATGGTTGAGCTGGTGATTGTGAAAATGGTCTGTCATATATTTTTTATTTGAAGATTTTTTGACTTGAAAAAGTTGGAAGTATTTTGTTTGTGATCATTAAAAAAAAAACACAATTTACTATTGTGAAATAGCTTTTATTATTATATTTTACAACTACATAAAAAAATTATGTAGTTGTAAAATTTTATGAATAGTTTGCAAAGTAAATTTAATATTGTCCTATTTTGGTTTAGATCACTTTCATAATCACTGGCTTAGGTATCAATGGAACACAAATATTTATTGCATTTAGAAAAAAAAACAAAGAAAAATTATGATAAAACTGATAATTAAACAAGAAAAAATGGGCTAAGAATAATGAAGTATAAATAGAATAACAGTAATCCAATAGGTAATTATTTCTGTAATTGATTGCATATTACTAAGGTTTACATCTACATATTTATGTATCCAGACTATATAACATCCCAATAACAATGGCTAGCAGTAAATAACCAATTGTCAAATACTTTCCTGTAGGAGAGGATTAGTTGGTATGGAACATTGTCACTGGATGGTTTAGATTACCATTTATGTGTTTAATAATTATGCACAGAGTTTGTATCTCTGCCTGATTGCTTAAGGCATACTTACAAATGGAATTAGAAATTAACGATTATTTTCTTGTGATGGTATTTACCATCAAGTATTGTATCATATAATTATAAAAACAGATTTTATGTATTAATATTTAAAGTTTGCATATATATCCAGTTATTCTACTTTGAGTCTGAATTCATATATATCTACAATAATTTAAGTGGTGTATAATCTATCAAAAATAAAGAGATACACAAGTACAGGTAGCCCTCGGTTTACGCCAGTTCAATTTACGCCGCTGCGCAATTCGCCGTTTTGAGGTGTAATTCCCCGATTTTCCCTATGCTAGACTGATCTTCATTTCAGTGTTGATGTATTTACCGAGCTGCGACATTGTACTGTACATTCGTTAAAACAAAGATTTTTATTAAATATATTTATTTTTTCTGTTTAATATTATTGGGTATGTATACATTTGCATTAAATTAATATTAAAATACTAAACGTTTAGGTACCCACGAGTCAAGATATTAAACTTAATAGTCCAATAAATGGCGTCTGAATCCATAGCGCCAATGAATGTATCCCGTATCAGTTTATTCAGGAAAACACCTTATGACGCAATAGCATTTCCGGCGATCACAAATTATCGTTAGTGAGATAAATCTACTTCTCGTTGTCCAGACGATATTTATCTCTCCTTAGCCATCTTGAATTTTCCCGCTCAAACTGACCTTATATATGCGCTACGGCGACCGGTGGACGAGCAATCAGTGTCTTCGCTCGTCCGTAGCTCTACGTCGAGTTAACGTACCCTTTCAACTAAGGAAAGTTTGACGGATAAAGTTTGTGAGTTAGACAATGTTGGGAGCGAAGTGCAAATGTAAAAAGGAGCATCATATTCGACCATATTCCGAAATTCTTAATGAACTAAATCAAAAATGTAAACAATTAAAGATGGATACTTTTTTCCGAAAAATGTAAGAAATTCGAAACTAAAATTTTTAAATAAAAACATTTTACTTCATTTTATGATAAAATACATTTTAAAAATTAAAAATTTATATGTATTTTGTATTATATTGTATTAATAAACAAAATTATTTGCGTATTTTTCACTTATGTGGAACCTAACCCTATATCTCACTATAAATATGGGTTTGTTTTACGCCGATTCGATTTGCGCCGGCTTTTATAGGAACGGAACTGCGGCGTAAACCAAGGGCTACCTGTATTATTAAGAAGTTGATAAGTTCTTTTGTTATCCAAACATTTTAAGTCAAAAATTCAAAGTGTAATGTGGAAATATATTAATTTGTGATGCCAAGCTCAATAATTATAGTCTGATTATTGAAAGTTAACAAATGTCTGATTCAAAAAATTAAAGTTTTAATCATTGAAAGTAAGAATTAAGGTTTCTTTGTTACAAAAATTATTCTTATAGAAAATAATTTGTTTTCTGTTTTATTTAATAATCAGTTGAAGAGATAAGACAGTTACAATGAAATTAAATGCATCAACTTCATATAAATATATTATTATGTTATGAATGTGTCTCTTTAATCAGACAAATTAAGTTCGGTAGACTATCAATACAGCTTTCAGGTTAGACACTTCTTTTAGTCTGCCGAACTTAATTTGTCGGATTAAAGAGACACATTTATAACGAAATAACAGCTACCATAAGTGATATTTAGAAGAATATTGGATACAAATGGATGGAGAAAACAGGTTTTCTGTATGAAAGTTTGGAAAGTGTATTTTAGATGTTTTTAATGGCTGTATTAAAAACTCTTCCCAATGTTGTACATTATACACCGTGGGTTTAGAAGACAGAATCATATTGTACTGAAGAGGGGCTTAGCAGTTATATAAGCCTGAAATGCATATATGAAAACAATAAAAGAAATATCTAACCTGAAAGCTGTATTGATAGTCTACCGAACTTAATTTGTCAGATTAAAGAGACACATTCATAATGAAATAACAGCTACCATAAGTGCTATTTAGGTTCATATAAATATCTAATGTGATATCATATTTATTTAGGAATTAAACAAAATACCAAATAACTAATGAAGTTGTATAAAAAGTAGAAATGTAGGAAATAATTGAATTTTATTTGGTATTTAGTCTGGTTGATCTTTGTTGTCAGTGAAGTATTTGTTACACATGAGAAATGCACTTCATGACACAGATCTCACAATAATCATGTGTCATTATTACTATTATTTTAGGAGAAACAATTTATATTAAATTGCTAAAACCTATGATTTAGCAGCTCTGTTCTTTTCAGCAGTTTAGTTATCTAAATATACATACATCTGATTTTGGTTTGATTATTTTGGGAAAAAAATATACATTTTTAATATTAGCTTTTGTGATAAATATAAGCAAGATACAGTAATACTTTATTACCCTTTCTATTTAATTTTTATTGATAATATATAAATCATGCAATAAATGTACTGTGCATTAAGTAATGTATAGTACCTTTTATACAGAACTTTCTCTTTTTGATATTATTCCAAATGATAGATGATGTGGCATTTTATTGATTTTTATTTTACTGAACTTATTTCATTACACAACCAGTTACTCAATATCTTTAGGTAAAATTGAAATATAAATTCGTTGTTTTTCCGAATCAAATTTGTCAGGTAATAAATATCTTCACAAATGTTTTATATGCAGTTACAAATACTTAATTGTTCCTTTTGTACTCTCATTCCTTTGAACAAAATTAAGATGAAAGACTTGTCACTGAAAAATGTCTATTTTTAATATATTAATTATTATTATATTTTTAAATATAATAAAAATCTAAACAATCTCTAGTATTTTAAGGACTCGTTGGATAGTGATTCCTCTGACATCAGTAGCAACTAGGGTTAAGAAACCCTGCTCTATATAGACTATAATTATGTCTATTAAAATTCACTATCAATAAAGTATAAGTAAAAGTTGCATGCAAAAAATGTTTATAAAAATATTTTTCATTGGAAAAAGAAATGAAATGAAAGCAAAAAAAATTATGCTAGTAATTATTGAATGGACTATATCTAAGGGCAGAAATAATGTTTTTTCATGCTTTGAAAAGTATTACATGCAAAATTATTTTATTCTGATATCATTATCTAAAAGTTGATTCTTAAATAAATACAGTGGTACCTTGTACTTTGAATGCATCAGAGTTCAAACAGTAAATTTGACAAAAAAATTTACTTTCAGGTTCGAATTGTGGTTTGAAGTTCGAACTGTGTGCACAGCAGAAAAATGCACTCGAAGCATAGACGCAATCTGTTGTGCAACCAAGTTGTCTCTCTTTCTGTTGTTATGCTGTTATATTTTCAGTACTTTTTCT